ACCACCAGGTTGAGATCAGTCACTAACATAAGCAGTGTGAGGCAAGGCAAGCTATTAATACAGCACCTTTCAACACAAGGCAATTCAAAGTGCTTTACTAAAATGAAAGACAATAAGAGCATTAAGAAATAGTGTCGCAGAAACAATTTATGTAATGGCATTTAAAAACAATCATTTAAAAGCAAAGAGAATAAAACATGAATAACACAGGTACATTAATACAAGTTACAGTGCAGTGTGAGATGTGAATAGTTCAATTAAAAGCAGCGGCAAAAAGAAAAGTCTTCAGCCTGGATTTCAAAGTAGTCAGAGTTGCAGCGGACCGGCAGGTTTCTGGGAGTTTGTTGTGTTGATGAAATGGGTGGGAAACGGTAGAATATCAGGAGCGATAGTCTGAAGGAGGTTTGAGGGGATAGGGTCCAGAGGACAGGTGGTAGGTGGTAGGACGGGCAGAGGTAATGAGGGTAAGAACCTTACTTAGAGAGAGAGGGGAGAAGGAGGTTAGTGTGTTGGTGGAAGGAGGGTCAGGTGACCCAGCGGTGAGTAAAGGTGAGTCAGAAAAAGAAGAGCGAATATCATCAACCTTTTTTTCAAAGTGGTTAACAAAATCGCTTGACAGAAGGGGGAAGGGGCTCTGGGGGGGGGGGGGGGTGGGTTAAGGAGGGTGGAGAAGATAGAAAATAGTTTTTTGGGATTGGAATAGGAAGATTGGATCTTATCTTGAAATAAAGTGCTTTTTGCCTGAGAGATCGAAGCAGAGCAAGAGGAGAGGAGAGCCTGATAGGTTAGGAGGTCGTCATGGTGTTTGGATTTCCACCGTTTCCGCTCTGCTGCCCGAAGGACGATTCTATTAGCACGCAGTGCGTCATTTAGCCAGTGAGCAGGAGGGGACTGACGAGCCTGCCGAGATGTGAGAGGACAGAGAGAGTCCAGAGAGGATGAGAGAGTAGAGAGTTTCTGCAGCAGAGTTTGGAGGCAGAAGTTGGAACGAGTCAGAGGAAGGGAGGGCTGAGAGCACCGATGAGGTCAGAGTAAAGGGGGAGAGGGAACGGAGGTTGCGGCGGACAGGTGCAGGATGAGAAGAGATTAGTTTGTTATGTTTGGAAAGGGATAGAGAGAATGAAATGAAGAAGTGATCGGATGTGTGAAGCGGGTTTACAGAGAGGTTAGAAGTAGAGCAGTTCCTTGAGAATATGAGATCAAGGACATTGCCAGCTTTATGAGTTGGTGGGGATGGAGACAGTGAGAAAGCAAAGGCGGTTAACCGAGATGTTAGTTCGTCTATCTTCCCTGTCTGGAGGTTGAAGTCTCCGAGAAGTACAGCGGAAGGGCCAGTTTCAGGGATGTGTGAGAGGAGATGATCTAATTCCTCCAAGAAGTCCCCCAATGGTTAGTTGTATAGGATGGGTTACTGTGACGGCATGGAATTCAAAGGTGGAAGGAGTGAAGTTAGGTAGCTTGAAGAGGGAAAAGCTCCATTTGGGAGAGAGCAGGAGACCAGTGCCACCTCCTCTGCCAGTGGGTCTGGGTGTATGGGAGAAGGAATATGCTGTGGAGAGAGCTGCTGGGGTGGATGTGTTGGATGGAGTAATCCAGGTCTCAGTGAGAGCAAGGAAATCCAGAGACTGCAGGGAAGCATAGCCAGAGATGAAGTCAGCCTTAGGAACAGCTGACTGGCAGTTCCACAGGCCACCTGAAACTAGATGTTGGATCTCAGTGGAGCATGTGGGATAGACGAGAGCAGGCCGGTTACAACGATTAGGAGATACACGGGGTCAGAAATGTATTCTGGGCCTAAATCATTCAATGCTTTATAAACCAGTCGCAGTATTTAGAAATAAATTATTTGACACACAGGAAGCCAGTGTAAAGACTTCAGAACTGGACTGATCCACTTTCTTAGTGTTAGTGAGGAACCAGTGTAAAGACTTCAGAACTGGACTGATTCACTTTCTTAGTGTTAGTGAGGAACCAGTGTAAAGACTTCAGAACTGGACTGATCCACTTTCTTAGTGTTAGTGAGGAACCAGTGTAAAGACTTCAGAACTGGACTGATTCACTTTCTTAGTGTTAGTGAGGAACCAGTGTAAAGACTTCAGAACTGGACTGATCCTCTTTCTTAGTGTTGGTGAGGAACCAGTGTCAAGACTTCAGAACTGGACTGATCCACTTTCTTAGTGTTAGTGAGGAACCAGTGTAAAGACTTCAGAACTGGACTGATCCTCTTTCTTAGTGTTAGTGAGGACTCGAGTGTGAGTCTTTTTCAGTCTCATAACTACAGTATGTTTTGCAGCCCAGCTTCAGGTCCAGCTCCAGCACCTCCGACTCCATCACTGCCGGCACCTGGAGCTCAGGTGAGTCAGCATGTTTACATAATGTAGTTTTTAAATATTTAGTTTTTAAATATTCATTTAAATATTTTTTTTCCGTGTCTTTATTTTTTAAAATATTTTTGTATTTTAATATTTGTTTATATTGTTTTAATGTTTGTATATTTAATTGGAGTGTCTATCTATATTTGATATACATTTATTATTATTTTTCAAATGTGTATATATTTTTGTTTTATTGTTTATATTTAATATATTTATTTAGCAAGTGCATTAGCTTAGTTGTAGTGTTTGTATATTTATTTTGAATATTTATATATTCTTTTAGGTTTTTTTAAATATTATATTTCTCTTTTTATTCATATATTTTATTATAATTGACTTTATATTTAGTTTTATTATTCAAATTTAAAATGTACTTCCAGTGTTTATGTATTGATCACATGTATGATTTTTTCTGTCTATAGCCATGTTTACATATTTAGTTGGGAGTGTGTATGGATCGTTTTTATATAAGTATAATTTTATTGTTTATATATATTTTATATTTATGTTTATTATTTATTTGTGATGTTTAAATGTCTAATTTTAGTCTTTTTTATATTAGGTTCTAATTTTTGTATACATTTGTTATATATTTAGTTTTATTGTTTAAACTTTTATTATCAACTGTTTAAAATATATTTGTAAAGTTTTTACGCAGTTTTTTTAATTGAATTTTTAATTTGTAGTGTTTGTATATTATTATATATTATTATTTGTATACATATTTTCATCCTTACCCAGGTTGAACCTATATTATTATTTTTGTCGGCAGGTGGAGACTGTGAGCAGGGGCCTCTGTATAACGCCGTGCGTAGGATTCACGTGGGAAGGTTGCTTACGTAGTAGAAATCCGAAAAATAGTTCCATACATTTTCCGCCACTTCCCGATTCAACAAACATTGCGTACCGGCGAGGAAAGTGCGTACAGCACTTCCTACGCCGGTTTCCCTTTATAAATCACAACCGACTCTAAATGCGTGCAGCTTTTGCGGGCTTCACGTAACGCCCATATTTGCCTATAAATGGTCAAAGAAACGCCCATTCATTCATTCATTCATTTTGACTGACTTTATGAAGAAGATCGCAGGAAATGACGACAGAACAGCTAACAAAGACATCTCACACCGTGTCGGATGTGGGTTATTTTGGGGAGGTCGAGATAAATCATATTGTTTGGTGGATGCAGTTTGAACCAGAGTAGCAGCATGGAGGTCGGATCGTCACCAAAATAAATAAATAAATGGCCCGAAAAAGGTTAATGACAAAAACAATACACATAGCCTTCCTCAGGCAGTGTGTTTGTACCAGGGACAGGAGACCCCCCCTTGATGAGAGACTGTAAGAAGTGATCGGGGAATCCCTCCGGAGTGGAGTCATGACCACTGGATCTGAATTATGTTTTTGTATTTGGTGGTTTGTGTTCCAGCTGTCGATCAGCTGTGCGCAGCGTCTCCACTGCAGCCTGTGCCATTCTTCCTTCTGCCAACGGTGTCTCAGTTTCTCGTCTCTCCCGTTTTTGTGCTTTGTGCGTACGCATGGGTTAGAGTTTGCATGGAGGACCGCACGTTTTCCCATCAAGTTAGTATTTTATAAATCGCAAACATTGCGTAGAAACTGGCGTACGCCATTTTTTGAGCGTATATCGCTTTATAAATGAGGCCCCAGGACAACCCGTGGGACGACCACTGCTCAGAGGGACAGGAACAACCCACACCTTCTGCTGCAGAGACAAACCTTCTGACAGCACAGGGACGCCCCGGGACAGAAACAAAGACACCTCCTGCTGCAGAGAGGAACCTTCTGAAAGCACAGGGACGCCCCGGGGCAGAAACAAACACAGCTCCAGCTGCAGAGAGGGGTATCTGATGTAGCCTCTACTAATTTAAATAATGATTCACTGACAGATTAACATAAAATCATAACACAGAATATAGATGTGTGAAATGGGTTGGTACTACCTTTATTTTTGGCATATTTCGAAAATGTAACTCATAATTATTCATAAGAACAAAGAGCAAACATGTTTAAATAAATACAAATACTTCCAGTGGACTGAGGAGGAAGGGTGATTCTTTATGTTATTATAAAATGTGTTTATTTGGCATATAATACTATAATAACTGATATTAAATACATTATTAATTATACATAAGCACTGGATGGAAATCAACGGCAAAAATAGGTAATTAATAAATAAATCATTTCAAGCAGACTTCCACATGTCTTGGTACTTCCTGTTTAAATGTAATTGCTATTACTTTGCATAGCCTCGCCAGCTTTATCAAACTGACAAAATAAACAGTTGTTAAGCTTTTAAATGAACTGTTAAGCTGTCACAGTTGTTTGGAGCTGCTGCCGGGTCTGCTTAAAAAAACACAACAACAATCTTTCTTATAATTCCCCTCACTTCCTGAACGTAGACACAGGTCCGCACTGTCTGACCACAGGGGGTTAAACAATAGCTAACGTTTATTAGCTAAACAGCAATAAGTGGTGGTGCACCAGGAGCTACAGGGCCGGCCGCCAACAGCAATGTAAGATAGTGTCGGTGTTTCGGGTCGGAGCCGGATCCCAGCTGAACAGCTTGTGGGACACAGCAGGAAGAAGTTTTAACACAGCGAGTCCTTCCTTTTCAAAAAGAGTTCACTTTATTAACAACGATTCTTCAAAAGCATCAGGATGAAATGTAACTCACATTAGCTAGTGATATCAACTAAACGATAAGAGATCAGCCGTTGCTTTTTCTTGTTCAAAGGGAGATTCACTTTGGTTTTTATGTCTATGTTTTTGGTCTCAAACTGAGCAACCAAATGGCTTCTCCCATGTGAATTCTCACGTCTCTTCAGACTGTCTTTCAGGCGTAATATTTTCCCACACTCAGATACACCCACGGGTACAACTTCAGATATAAATGAACACATAATGAAATATGACCCCCGGTTTGATGATTGACAGGTCACAGTACAATGGGAGCTATCTACCCTTACCCACAATTTAAAGTAATTCACACAGACCATCTCCTCTTTACTCTTCTCTCTGTGAGGAGCAGCAAGTTCAGCTTCAGAACAAAGTGAAACACAAACAATGGCATCAAATATTATTAATATGTCGGGTAGTAGCCTAATCTCAGAGTGCACCAGAATGCAGGGCCGTCCCTCCCTACACGCAGATCACGTGGGGCCTCATCTTGCGGAGGGGCCCCTCAACTGAGCGCACCGTTATGCGGCGCAATTAGTGTAAGCGCGGCACAGTTTTTCCGCTGCGACACGGAGGGCCTCATCATATAACTTTGCGTGGGGCCACAAAATGGCCAGGGATGGCCCTGCCAGAATGCGTAGTTTATATGTTAGCATTTCAAAAAATCTCCTGGGGGAGGATCCCCCCAGACCCCCCTACTGGGGTTGGGTTTTCAGCATGTGTGCCTTTTTATGTTATACAGTGCAGCTTTGATTCCATCATCTCATTAAACTTTTTTAAAAGCATACTTTAGTTCTGTGAAGGGATATAAGGGATATATGCACTGTACTTCACTTTATTTGATTTTGTCTGCTGAAAAGCAAATAAGCAAATGTCGGGTCGCGATTTATTGACAAAGGAAAAAAGTGCGTCCCGAGGCCTGACCAGTTGAGAACCACTGGTTTAGAGTGTTTAACCGGAATAACAGATCTTTCCAATCACCACTGATTTCAGGGTCAGGAGAAGCTAAAGTCATGTTCTTGGCTGGCTCTGGTTCTCTGTCAGTGTGTTGGTTACTTTTGTGTCATAAGAGCACAATGGACTTGTTTCTGTGCTTAATATTTGTTTTAATACACATTCAGACTTCACTTAGAGCAATGATGTTTTAACACATTTCGAGCAGGTATCGCGTTATACACATTTACTGGGACTAACTCAAAGAGTTTGAACCTAACAATAATCACTGTCTTCAGGGTCAGGTTCTGAAGAGTCTCCAGGGTTGTCCTCAGTATCTGGTTGTAAATGTCTCTCTGGATCTGAGTTCCTGGCTGGTTCTGGTCCTCCACAGTCCTCTCCATCAGCTTCTGTTTCCAGGTGTTCAGCTGAGATGCTGGCTGGAGGCTCTGCCTCTCTGATCTCCTCAGTTTGAGTTTGATGAAGCTGTGATGACTGACGACCAACACACTTATGGATTTTGACCAGATATCTCCGGGTGAATCTTTTGTCACAAACACTGCAGCTGAATGGTTTCTCTCCTGTGTGGATTCTCAGGTGGTACTTTAAATGTCCTCTCTGTCCAAAAGATGTCTTACAAATAGAGCAGCTGAATGGTTCCTCTCCTGTGTGAATTCTCATGTGGTACTTTAAATGTCTACTCTTTGCAAAATATTTCTTACAGACTGAGCAGCTGAATGGTTTCTCTCCTGTGTGGATTCTCAGGTGGTACTTTAAATTTCCTCTCTGTCCAAAAGATTTCTTACAAATTGAGCAGCTGAATGGTTTCTCTCCTGTGTGGATTCTCATGTGGTCCTTTAAATCTCCCCTCTTTCCAAAAGATTTCTTACAAATTGAGCAGCTGAATGGTTTCTCCCCTGTGTGGATTCTCATGTGTACTTTTAGATTTGACTTGCTGCGAATTTCTTTCTCACACAAAGAGCAGCTAAATGGTTTCTCTCCTGCACTACGTCTTGAATCACTGACAGGGTTTTGTTTATTTTTCTGAGACTTTGAACCTGGTTCTCTGGTCTCCTTCCAATCAGCACTGTCTTCAGTGTCAGGTTCAGAAGAGTCTCCAGTCTCAGGTTCTGAAGAGTCTCCAGGGTTGTCCTCAGTCTCTGGTTGTAAATGTCTCTCTGGATCCGAGTTCCTGGCTGGTTCTGGTCCTCCAGAGTCCTCTCCATCAGCTTCTGTTTCCAGGTGTTCAGTTTGTCTTTGATGAAGCTGAGAGGACTGAGGTTTCTCTTCATCATCTTCACTCTTCACAGGGACAGGAGTGAATGTGGACTTGGTGATATCAGCCTCCTCCAGCGCTTGAAGCTGCTCTCCCTCCTGACTGCTCCAGAGTTCCTCCTGTTCCTCTTTAATGTGTGGGGGGGGCTCCGGGTCCTCCTGGTCCAGACTGGAGCTCCACTCCTGCTGTTCAGGGGGAACCTCTTCTTTAACCACCACCAGCTGCTGGACGTCTGCAGGAAACAGGAAACACATATTCAGAGAAACTGTAGAGTATTAGAATTTAAAATCTAACCACGATTAACACTTCTTTAACTTTGCAGCCCTTATCCATTCCTTATTTTAAATGCTTTTCCAGATCGGTCGGCCGTTCACGGAGTGTGAGGCCGTAGCCTTATAGTTTGTGACCTGTCTCCAGAGTCGTTAGCTGAGAACTGGTGTTGGGGTTTCTCAGAGTAGTCGTTTAGCATCTCTCACCGCCTCGCTAAACCTGTACTTGGACTCATACAGGTGCATCTCAATTCAATTCAAAACCTTTATTTATCCAGGTAAAATCCCATTGAGATCAATGATCTATTTTTCAAGGGAGACCTGCAGCAGTAGGTTCCACAAGAAGACATAAAAACATAAACAGAACAACAAAAGGACATCATACAGCAAAATGTACAGGGATTACAATTTACATATTTAACCACATGTACAGGTACCAACAGCATCTGATTTTGTAGCATCCAACCGAGCTTTAAAAACATGTAGTGGTACTAGCTTGGTAATTTTCCGTTCTTTTTGCAGACTGTTCCATGTTAGTGGAGCTGCACATCTAAAAGCTTTCTTCCCTAAGACAGTCCGCTTTTGTTGTTCTGTTGTTTATGTCTTCTTGTGGAACCTACTGCTGCAGGTCTCCCTTGAAAAAGAGATCATTGATCTCAATGGGATTTTACCTGGATAAATAAAGGTTTTGAATTGAATTGAATTGAATGTGTGGGGGTGTTACGTGCCAGGCAGGCTGTACTGGTGTGGTTTTCCTTCCCTCCTGTGTTTCTCTCCCTGTCTTCTGCACAGCTAATCAGCAGCTGATCGGCATCTGCCTGTGCACCTGAGTCTGATGGCTGATTGGATCCTCTCCCCATCAGCTGGCCTATCAGCAGCCAGGGCCGACCATAAAGGAGGCACCCAGGAAGTCTTCTCGCTCTCTCACTCTGGGCCTGTTGCTGATGAAGGAGCCTGCAGTGTTTAGCAACTAATTCACTTTGTATTGTCAGACCTTTTTGAAAGTGTGTGTGTTGAGAGGTGGAGGAGTTAGGTAAGTCTGGGGTACCCAGTACATTTCTCACCACGTAGCTAACTAATGTTTAGACACACTAGGTTAGCGGATTGTTGCCACCCCTGTATATTGTTTTGTCAAAGTCTTTGTAGTTTAGTTAGTGAGGGTTTTTGTTTCAAAGGATAGATGTAGAGATCCTCCTCCTCCTCCTCCTCCTCCTCCTCCTCCTTCATTTGCGTAATCTTCCCTCAGGGAAAAGTACTCCGGTGTGAACGCGATCGGCTCTTAGTTCCATAGGGGAACTAAGTGCTAGGAACTATGTACTGCAAAGTACTTGGTGTGAACGCGGCTATTGTGCATGTCCAAGGAGAATAAGTGGATCATTCCAGTTTTCATTAAACCACATTATTTTTCAACAGAGTTTTTGATCTCAGCAAGTACTTTTTTGTAGCGTGTCACACAATATGCAAAATGCCAACACCATTTCCAAAGAATCTAATTTATTAGGGATTCCGAACAAATGTATTATTGGGGTAGGTTTTGTTTATCAAAATTGATAAAAAAGGGAAGAACTGTTGGGGAAATATTTTCTTAGGCCCATAACTGTGACCCAGTTTATCAGCTTGTACTGACCTCACTGAGCACACGCACCTGTAGCTTGGCTGCTGTGCTCTCAGTTTGTCTCCCTGTTCCTGCCTGTTGGCGTCAGCTGATAGAGGTGTTATGGTTTTATCTTGTTATGCACAATGTTGATTATTCTCTCAGAACCAGCTAAATACATGGGTCTGGGTAGAGATCCTCAGAATTGGTTTGGAATCCGTTGTGTCAACTCATGGCTCGTGACATGTCTTGTGAATTCTCCGGCCGAAACTCCAAATAAACCGTCAGTGTTTGCCATCAAAGCTCCTGCTTTCCCCGTGTCTCACACCAACGCAACTCCGGTTCAAGCTCCGTGCTAGAGCTTTTCAGGTTCAGAACTAGTTCTTCGGTTTAGCTCTGGCTCTTTTCACACCGCCCAGAGTCCGACTGGTAATGCGTCGTTGCGTCATCGTTTGCGTCATGACGTAACCGTTTGCGTGCCTGCTTCATAAAGCCAAACCGCGCGGATTAAATCAGTTGCATTCATTTCTTATGGCTCTATCTGCAGCTTTTCCGGAGTCATTTCTGTGGTTTAGTTATATTCTTATAAAAAAGTGTACTCGTGTCAATAAAGGTTTTTTTAAAACACAACTGTTTCCGAGGTCGGTCTTATTTCTTAAGGTGGACTGAACCATGAGTGTGGAGTAACGTTGTATCTTTCATTTAAATGAACTGTAACCTTCACCCAGGTATGTAACAGCTGTTCTCAAATGAACACGTGAAGTAAAGTTGAATATTTATAGTTTTATAGATTTATAATGAGGTGATCAACGTGAATGCTCAGGTTCCACCTTAACACACAGACACGTTGCTTCACCATGAGCAGAAACCTTTATATATACAGTCTATGGCAGAAACACTGAAACTCTTGTTAAGTTTCTCCATCGTTGTGTACAAACTGGATAAAACGCAGGCTTTTTGTTGTTTTTCAGGAGTTGATCTGTCTCTGCCCCTGGCCTGCCCCCGCCTCGACGTAAGCGTGACGTATGTGGTGCTTTTGCTCTGAACGGACAATTTTTTGGTGCTTGAAACGAACCGGATTCCGGAGCTAAGAGGCTGCTCCGCTGCGGTGTGAAGAGGAAAACCCGGTGCTTTTCAAGCTCCAGCTCCGAACCGGCCCTGAAACACCGTTGGTGTGAATGAGGTATGAGAGTCCCGTTTCCAATTACTTCAGAAGTTTCCATCACACAGGGTTTTCTCTAAACTGGGTAACAGGGGCGCTGCACCCTCTTACTCTCAGCGTGCACCCTCATACCAAAATGTAGATTTCCCCCATAAAATGTTAAAGTGATGCCAGAAAAACAATATTTATGTTCATCAAAAAACGGTATAATTATTGCGTCAGGCGGCAGAGACAGCTATTAAGAGTCTAACGAGTTAATACAGAGTCTAAAGAGTGAGAGAGAGTGAATAAAGAGGGAACAGACCTGCTCTGTGGATCTGAAGCTGAGGCTGTAAAACAGCGTCCAGTAGTTTCCGGTGTCTCTCGTTCTCCTGTTTTGAACGAGACAGTTCCTCCTCGTACTCTGCTATCGTTCTTTCAAACAGAACAAAGATGTCTTCAGCAGCCGCAGTGAGTCGCTGCTTCACCAACGAGAGCAGGACAACACTCATGTTTACTAAATCACCACTTCCCGTTTCTCTCACTCTGTGTTGCTAGCGTGTTACCAGCTAGCATGCTAAGCTAGCTTCTAGAGTCCGAGCTAAAGGCTTCAGAAGAAAGAGCACAAAGTCAGAGGTTCATCCAGACACACAGACGATGGACGGATCAGCTGCTCACACACACTTCCTCAGGAACACCGAGAGAGAACCATGGATGTAGCGAGAGAACCGAGAGAAGCCACGAGACGTGATCTGGTTCCATTAGAAAGAGCGAGACCATCACTTCCGGTGCATCACTTCTTCTTCTGTCGATTTAAAGGCGGATTGCAAACAACTTTAAGGTGCATACCGCCACCTACTGTACAGAGTGTGTATCACCATTGCCCTTTCTCATTTCATCAAATCCCCCTCCTCGACTCCTCGGTCCTCTGGTAGTGACCCGAAAATGAATTTCAGTGCGCCATGTTGAAGGACATCTCATTTCTCTAAATGCACTTCGAGGACCGAGCATCGAGGAGGCTCTCTGGATGAGCTATAACCGAGGATACACTGATGGGTCCTCCACGGCTCCTTCGTGGATGCATTTCCGGGAACAGAGATGTTTCAAAGAGTCGTGACGCACGGCCGGACTTATCTCAGCCAATGACAGCTCTGCATGCATGCGTCCCCTGGATATTATTTTATTAACTGCTTTCATCGCGATGCGATGTTTACAGTGAGAACAGCTGTGAGGTCCGTGCAGAAAGCAGAGCAGTGTGTATAATATATATTGTTGGCGCAGCAGCCATTACCAGCAAAGATCTAGATAGCCTTGGACTAATACTACGGAGGAATAAAAGACGCCACACACTTGCATTGTAGTTCACATGACACTAGAGGCTTCTCAATACTCAAAAGGACTTTTAAAGGACATCTAATTTCTCTAAATGCACTTCGAGGACCGAGCATCGAGCGTCGAGGAGGCTCTCTGGAGGAGCTATAACCGAGGATACACTGATGGTTCCTCCACGGCTCCTCCGCGGATGCATTTCCGGGAACGGTGGAGGCGTGACACACGGCCGGACTTATCTCAGCCAATGACAGCTCTGCATGCATCCTCTGGATATTATTTTAGAAACTGCTTTCATCGTGTCGCGATGTTTACAGTGAGAACAGCTGTGAGGTCCGTGCAGAAAGCAGAGCAGTGTGTATAATATATATCACTCAGTATAACAGGCCTACTCTCTTTATTTGCTGTAGTTTAGTAGATATCTACAAACAAAGAGTCGATATTTTTCTAAGACCATTTAGTGCTTCACATAATAAAATACACAACGGCTGTAGCCTGATTATGCTTTAGGAGCTGTAAGTGTGTGTGGTACAGTGGCTAGGTGTGTGTGGTACAGTATGTTGGTGCAGGGTCGGCTCTAGAACAAATCGAATGGGGGGGCAATCATTTACCAAGGGGGGGCACACACTGCCGTCAACAACCAACACACAAACACCAACGCAAAGCGTACTTTTTCTTTATGGATATTTTACTAATCATTCCCCTTTTAAACTGTATTCTTGTGTTACTGTCCTATAGTATTTCATACCCGTTTTTCATTTATTCTCTCTTTAATAACTATAATGATCATATAAAGGTATTCCTCGAAAATAATTACATAAATGGTGACCAAACCGTTTGAGACCCACTGAGATAACCTACACTAAAGTGAACTATCTAAACACTGAGAGAGTCCTTACCTCACTGAGCTGACGTTATAAGATCCTCACAGTCTGACAGGAGAGGACTCTCCTCCACCTTGGTGTAGAAACAGCCCTTTATATCCGTTAGCATAGCTAGCTAACCAGATGCTAACAACATTCCACGTTACCAGTGGAACCAGTTACGTTAGTCCACCAGCAGATGACAAACACCCACCTCTCCGCCTCTTCCAAGGGACGAGGCAGAGTTTGTTAGATTTTTTTTTTTTCGCTGGTCAACATGTCGGTTAAAGTTGAAATCTTCCAGACAAAATTAGAAAAGTACCGGTCAAAAGGTCTTCTTTGTTATTTATTGAGCTTTAAAACAAATGAATAATGACTCCATATAATAATATAAGAATAAAACACGGAGGACGGAGATCTCTTTTTCTCCCCCTCTTCTGAGAGCCCTGCAGCTGACCTCAAAGCATGCTCCCCTCTCCTGCAGGGGGGCGTGGTCAGCTGCAGCTCATTTGCATTAAAGCTACGTCACAGAATCAGCCCCTGCAAAATCAGGGCTGGAAAAGAGCAAATAGAGCAAAATGAGGCATGGCTAAAATGCATGATCGGTTTGGTATTTTGAAAAAAAAAAAGCATATTTATATAGGTATGGCCCTACAATATATTGTTCAAATATAGCATGATAGGTCCACTTTAATATAAGATATTTGTTTGAGCACTATTGATTGGTTGGCTTGGGTCACATGGATATGGGAGCACTCATTATAATCCTGTTCAACTTTTACCCCCATTTTTAGTGCCTGCTGAGAGGTGGTACTCTCCTGGGGGAAAAAGTACCCCAGTTCTGATTGGCTGGGCGAATTGCAAACCACGCCCGTAAAACTCTGAAATGTTTTGTAGAGCCGCCATTTTATTATCCTCGCATTAGCATTATAAGCATTAGCATTCGCCCAGCGCACAAACGCAGAGAGATTAACTTATGGCAACACAAAATAAAACATGGGAGCGGTGGAGATGAGGAGGTGTCGGCGTTCTGGCGATTTACTCGGAAGGCTTCAGTAGAAGCTGCTGGGAATCCCAGCAGCTTCTACTGAAGGCAGTCCCCAACTCCGGGGACTTCCGGCCCGGGACTTCGGGTGGCAGGATACGCCGTGAAGTCGTTTGCGGCCTGCCAGTAAACCCAAAGCAGAAGAAGACGAAGTGACATCAGCGGCTTCATTTGCGTAATCTTCTCTCAGGGAAAAGTACTCCGGTGTGAACGTGATCGGCTCTTAGTTCCATAGGGGAATTAAGTGCTGGGAACTAAGTACTGCAAAGTACTTGGTGTGAACGCGGCTATTGTGCATGTCCAAGGAGAATAAGTGGATCATTCCAATTTTCATTAAACCACATTATTTTGCAACAGAGTTTTTGATCTCATCAAGTACTTTTTTGTAGCGTGTCACACAATATGCAAAATGTCAACACCCTTTCCGGATAATCTCATTTATTAGTGATTTGAACAAATGTATTATTGGGGTAGGTTTTGTTTATCAAAATTGATAAAAAGGGAAGAATTGTTGGGGAAATATTTTCTTAGGCCCATAACTGTGACCCAGTTTATCAGTTTGTACTGACCTCACTGAGCACACGCACCTGTAGCTTGGCTGCTGTGCTCTCAGTGTTTTGTCTCCCTGTTCCTGCCTGTTGGCGTCAGCTGAAAGAGGTGTTATGGTTTTATCTTGTTATGCACAATGTTGATTATTCTCTCAGAACCAGCTAAATACATGGGTCTGGGTAGAGATCCTCAGAATTGGTTTGGAATCCGTTGTGTTAACTCATGGCTCGTGACACGTCTTGTGAATTCTCCGGCCTCATACCAAAATGCAGATTTTCCCCATAAAATGTTAAAGTGCTGCCAGAAAAACAATATTTATGTTCATCAAGAAACGGTATAATTACTCCAGAAATATGAACATGGTGTCAAATAGAGCGTCAGGCGGCAGAGACAGCTATTAACCTGTTAAGCCCGAAGCCTGTTTTTTTTTTCACGACACTGTGTCTCAGGGCATCTTAATATTTAAAGACCTATTAATGTCTTATACCAGATTAACGAGAAGAATCTCAGCTAACTGACGATATGAACCATTTTTACCGAAACAAAACACAAGTCTCACAAGAAGCGTTAGCATTAGCCCTTAGCTAAAACGGGCAGATGCTACTTCCGGTGCTAACTAGCAAAAACGATCTTTAAAAAACTTAATATTTTCTGCACAAACTACATATCATCTGAAAGCTGATACTCCACAGATTATTTTTGTTATAAGTATCATCACTGTAGGACACAAACTCACTGAGCTAGCAGCCAGAACAGAGAAGAAAAAAAACAACAGTTTTCAAAACCATAACAATAATTATGTCTTACCGTTGCTGTTTTGTGATCAAAGCTCTTGTTCAAGGGAATAAAAACGCTGCTTAAAGTTAATCCAATGTCTCTTAGTCACTTTAGAATTGTTCCTGATAAACTATCATTACATTCATGGCAGCAGAGTAGGTAGAAAGTTTCGCAGTCCCGAGCTAATGCTGTCTCACGTGCTGTTTACGCAAACCTCTCTCTACTTGACGTAAGTGTTTAGCGGGACTTACTAACTGTCACTCGATTCTATTGGCTCTAACGGTTCAGAAAAGGTGTCAATCACCCAAATCGACCAATGGGTTCCAAAGATAGGATCCTGCGTAGTATAAACTACGCCCGCTCCGGCTCCATTACGTATTACGCATCCAGAAGGGCTTCACCACCGAGCAGGTGCTAGAGATGCTAGCTGACGATAGCGGGGCTATGATCATTCCAGATGACTCTTCGTCAGATGATGAAGATCTCCTCCAGCCAGACCTGGATCCGGACAGTAGTGACTCGGATGTTGAACTTCCACCACGGGAAAGGTATGTCATCTCTGTTTTTATATATTACCAGGGTTTCCCACACATAGACTATACTTGGGCGGGCCGCCCAGGTATATTAACGGCCGCCCAAGTATATTTCACGACCCATTTTTTTTTAAAAAGTTTTTATTTTTTTTATTTTTTTATTCGTCCGTGACCACGACGCCATCTGCAATCGATTAACTTGTGGACAATGATCCCTCGCTCCCTTGCTCTGATCTCGCCTCGTTAAGTGGCCTGCCTCACACAGGGTGACTGGCTGTCTACATGATGTGGCCTGCCAACATGGCCACTGTCATAGAGATCATAAATCAAAGCCCTTGATTGGTCTCTGTGTGTCATTCAAGCTCGGGATAACCTCAGCTCAGGTGAGGTAAAGGACTCTGAGTGTTTAGATAGTTAACTTAGTCTAAATTCTCAGTGGGTCTCAAACGGTGTGGTCACCATTTATGTAAACACATATTTCCATTTGAGAGGGTAGTGATTGATCTAATGCAGAGGTGCCCAGTACGTCGCCCGCGGTCGACCGGTCGCCCGCGGGGCAAAGCTGGTAGATCGCGAGTCATTCTTAAAAAAAAAAATCCAGCTCCGTTAAAATAGACACAACAGGTTTTGATCCCTCCTCCCTGCCACTTAATTCAGGAGTTTACTTGATTGACAGAAAAAGCGACCTATCGCTTTCCAGTCTGTTAACCCAGAATGCAAAGCGATACAAAATCAGTCAAGTGCCGGGAAAACTCAAATTAAGTTAAAGAGACAAACAAGAGACAAACAACAACATGAGTGCGGGACCGAGCAAGAAGCTAAAGACAAACCACTTCCACCCAGAATGGGAGGAAGAATATTTTGTTGTGATGTCAC